ACTGATCGTTCTGCACTTCCGTTCCACGCTCCCTTCCCTACTGCGATCCTGCTGTTTTTGACAGACAAACGGCTGGATGCACTGGGGATCGACAAGACGTAGTGTTCCCAGAATCTCAGCACTGCGCAGGAGTTACTGCCACGACAACGGCTCCACGCCACACAGATCACAAACCTCTCTATTCAGAGCATACAAAAACATGAACGGCGACAGCATGTCCTTCTACTACAACCATAGAGAGCCGTTGATATGCCATGTTGTGCCTTGCTGCAACTCACTATCGCGCTGGCATCGTCTATCGGTGATCCTGGCCTGTCACGAACGAAGTGCTGATGTCCACGTCGCAGCTCTGGTAGAGTGTATACATGTTCGTCCCCTGGCAGCAAGAACACTGCGAAGTTTATTGACATGCTACAAACTAATCCGCTTTAAACCCATGGCTTTGACCCAAATCCAAATTTCACATCCTGACCTACGCAGCTCTAAACCCGAAAATCCGAAAGTGCTCCAGCCCAAAGTCTCAAGCGCCAACAGCTAGAATAGGGTGTTGCAGAGCATACACTCTGTTTTTATTTTAATCATAAACTATTGCCAGCCATTATACACGCCACAAGACCTCCTTTGTAAGCCCTCCCTGAAACCTAAATAATACAACCAAAAACATAAATCCTAACCCCTCATGACGCCTCAAGGAAAATCTCCTCGCGCAGGTGTGCGAAGCCTCGAGCTCTACCTGCTCTTTGAGGCTATTGGCGTAGGATTGAAAGCATAGGATCTAGTGTTTGTAGGTTTTATAGGGCTTAGGAATAAGGGCTTAGGCTTCAGGATTTTAGGCTGGAGCTAGTACAGGGTTTGGAGTCGAGGCCAAGGATCCGCCACTAGATGGGGGACGACACTTTGGCCGCGTGACGTCGTGGTTTCCTGGTGGTTGTCCTGGTGGTGTCTTCAAGTCTCGTGGCGGCTCCTGGTGCACCACTACAGCACCAGTCCTAGAGGTACCACGGCACTACAGTACTCCAGTTGGATCAGCATCAACACCAACATCTCTATGGCATGCTGGATCAGCAGGACATCCAAACCCTAAACCTTCATCCACTAGCTTCCACCGCAACCCTTTTCACACCGCCTTGATTGGAGCTGGCCAGGCCACGAAAACCCGAAACACTAATCCAACAGCTTCCCAGAGACTCCAATATCCCTTAAGTAAGGAATATACCTAAAATCATATTAGGGATCCTACTATAATTTGAGGTACATTCCTTAATTAAGGGATTCCTTGGAGTCTCTGGGTTCCACCGAAACCGCAAGCCCGAAAGACCTTTCAGAAGGCCTCAGCCCAAAACCCTAAACCCTAAGCCCTAAACCCAAAACCCAAAACCCTAAGCCCTAAACCCTAAACCCTAAGCCCTAAGGCCTAAGCCCGAAAAACCCTTTCAGAAGGCCTCAGCCTCTTCGGGAGCGCCCTGGGGCGTCTCGAGGTCCTCGAGATAGGATGTAGGGTTTTGGGAGGCTGTGTTATTATCATTATTATTTACTTTATTATTATTGTTATTATTATTGTTATTATTATTAATATTATTATTACTATTGTTGATTTTGTGACGAATATTGTGATTATTATCGTTGTGACGATTGTTAGTTATTACGGTCATGACTGTTATTATTGATATTTTTGAGATGTGCGGAAGCAACCCGACGAGGATCAAGGTATTTAAGGCCTGAGGTAAAAGCTGCCTCCGGCATGCTTGTCAGCTTGTCGAGGGGGCCATGCCAAGAAAAGCGACAGATTCACTCCTCTCTTGTTTGGGGCGGGGGGCCGTAGTGAAGGAACTAGGCTTTAGGGTTTAAGGCTTTTGTGCCTTGTAGGGTCTAGGTGGGAACAGTATTCCACCCTGGGCCATACACGCCAAGTCCCTGTGGAAGCTCTGGAGCTCTGCGGTTTAGGTACGTGAGCATAGACTAAGAGCGGTTTTGGGATTCGAAAGCAAGTTTGGGGTTCAGGGTTTAGGGCCTGGGGATCCGCAGTCGACGTGTTTTTGCCCCGCGAGTAGCCTCAAGCGACAGCACACAAGATGTTTCTTGAGCGCTCCGGGTCGCAAGCCCCTCCCTGTTGGAGAGAAATCGCTGGCGAACATGTTCCTACGGTTGGTGATATAAATCCTGCATTACCCATGAAAAGGAATATACCATAACTCCCATAGTTCAGGGTCCTTAAGGTAATGCAGGATTTATATCATCAACTGTATCACACCCTTCCGTGAGCAATTGCTTCACTCGGCAGATACGGTGAAATGGCTCTGCCGCTGCACAGAAGTTTACGTACAGTGAGTGAATTGCAACTCATATGGTACGGCAACGGTCGCCTCCGTTGCCCACTCCTTTAATTGATAGCTCCTCTCGCTTTCCTGTGACAGCCTAGCGAAAGTCGGATTGTACAAAGTACAAAGAAGCAAGGTTTCAGGGTTCAGTTAAGTTTAGCGGTTTAGCGCTAAGGGACTGGGTTTGGGCATCTAGGTTGATAAGCATGACGATGAGGCCGCAAGCTCAATGCGACCTCTCTGAGCAAAGCGAGCAGAAAAATGCGTTCACTTTCTACAGAACAGGCTATCATATCCTAGAGCCCTTAAGGGAGACCCCTATAGTAGGCCCTATAGACAACTTTCAAGAACCCTTAAATTAATACATAAACTAAACCAAACCATCAACCCTAAACCCTAAATCCGAAACGCAGGTTGGGACAATGCCGGTATAGCACGCCTGTAGCTTGGCGGCTTGGAGTTTTCCTAGCGAGCTCGCCAGTCCGCACCTCCCTGCCGCAACACGGACACCTGCTTGACGATTTTGTAGTGGATGTGTGGGACAGAGCGCACAAAGAGGAGCCGATAGCACGTCCCAAACAAGGGAAGGAGATACGACCCAGTCTTGTAGACCTGAGAGTGTCCAGAAAATCCCAATATATGGACCCTAATACTAAGTAGTTAGGGTTTCGGGCTTAGTGGGATCCTCCTTACGGAAGGTATCCAATTCCCACGGCACCCCGAAACCCTACACCCCTAAACCCTAAGCCCAGTTTAACCCACTCCCCCCACCCACCTTGAGGGACAGCCAACATGGGATGCTGTCGCCCGAGCGGGTTACGGCGTAATCCTGGCTGCCTTCGACCGGCTTCACGCCCATGCTCGGAGTCAACGTCACCTTAAAGACCAAAAGAGCTTTGGGACTCGTTATACCTACGCCCCACAAGTATGTAGAAAAAAGGCCGTTCATAGGCGTTCGGCCATGTGTTTACCTACTTGGGGGGGGTTACTGTCAAGGAACCCTAAACCCTCAACGGTGCCATTGGTCCTTCAGGCACCTTGCTGAAGTCATTGAAGCCTTGGGTTCCACTTGGGGCTTTTCGTACACACTCCGCCATAAGAGCCTGCTTCTCCATGGATGCTTTGGTAGCTGTTGG